GAGCCGACATCCGGTGCCAGGAGCGCGAAGTCACTCTCTTTCCCGTTTCTGATCAGCCAGTTGTATTCTTTGGGGTGAAGTCGAGGACTGTGCCTCGAGTCATCTCTTCAATGCAAGCTAGGAAGAGCCTTTCCAATGGTAGCTGCCAAGGCTACCTTGTTTCTATGGTGTCCGAGGATGATTCCGAGCGGACTCAGGAGCGAGTTTCTATTGTTTGCGAATTCCTTGATGTTTTTCCCGATGAGCTGCCCGGAGGACCACCCGACCGCCAAGTGGAGTTCACCATTGACTTAGTACCGGGAGCTGGCCCCGTGTCTAAGGCCCCTTACCGTATGGCGCCGAAGGAGCTTCAAGAGCTTAAGGCCCAGATTCAAGAATTGCTCAGGCTCGATTTTATTCGACCGAGTGTTTCACCGTGGGGTGCACCTGTCCTATTTGTGAAGAAGAAAGACGGATCCATGCGTATGTGCATTGACTATCGGGAGCTGAATACCCTTACGGTCAAGAACAAGTACCCCCTTCCTCGTATTGAGGATCTCTTCAACCAACTGAGAGGAGCCAACGTCTTCTCAAAGACCGATTTGCGGTCTGGCTATCATCAGCTGAAGATCCGGGATTCGGATATTCCTAAGACTGCTTTTCGTACCCGTTATGGCCACTATGAGTTCGTAGTCATGTCGTTCGGACTCAGCAATGCCCCGACCGTGTTTATGGACCTTATGAATAGGGTCTTTCATCCCTTCTTGGACCAGTTTGTTATCGTGTTCATCGATGACATCTTGGTTTATTCTCGGAGCATTGACCAGCACAAGCAGCATCTAAGGATTGTGCTGGAGACTCTTCGCCGCGAGAAGCTGTATGCTAAGTTCTCGAAATGTGAGTTCTGGTTAGACCGTGTGGCGTTCCTTGGCCACATTGTGACGGCGAGAGGCATTGAGGTGGATCCCAGCAAGATCGAGGCGGTGAGAAAGTGGGATACGCTAAGAAGTGCCGCTGATGTTCGTTGTTTCCTGGGGTTAGCAGGATACTACCGGAGGTTTATCGAGGGCTTCTCAAAGATAGCCCAGCCACTAACCAACCTTACGAAGAAGGCCGTGAGGTTTGATTGGAGTCAGAAATGTGAGGAGAGTTTTCAGGAGTTGAAGAGGAGACTCACTACCGCGCCCGTCCTATCCATACCCGACCCTACTTTGGAGTTCACGATCTATAGTGATGCTTCGAAGATGGGATTGGGTTGTGTTCTCATGCAGCAAGGGAGAGTCGTAGACTATGCTTCGAGGCAGCTGAAGCCTCACGAGCAGAACTACCCCACTCATGATCTGGAGTTAGCTGCAGTTGTCCACGCCTTGAAGATTTGGCGGCACTACCTCTATGGAGGCAAGTGTGAGATCTTTACCGACCACAAGAGCCTGAAGTACATTTTCACTCAGAAGGAGCTGAACATGAGACAACATAGGTGGTTGGAGCTGGTCAAGGACTACGATTGCACGATTAGCTACCACCCTGGGAAAGCTAATGTGGTAGCCAATGCCCTTAGTCGGAGGGGTTACGGCCAGCTGTCTTGCCTATTCACCGGGCAGGATGTCCTTCTTCAGGAGTTCGAGCGGCTACAGCTAGAGGCAGTGGAGTCGACTTCGACAGCCGGGGGCGTGTTGGCCTCTTTGGTTGTGGGACCGACTCTTCGAGAGAGGATAGTCGCCGAGCAACCGAATGACCGTTTCCTATGCCGGATGAGGGAGTTGTCAGAAGCCGGCAGAGTTGGAGGATTCACAGTCGCATCTGATGGGGCCTTGGTCTTCGAGGGTAGACTTTGTGTTCCGAGAGTATGGGAACTGCGGAGAGAGATTTTGAGGGAGGCCCATAGTGCCCCGTACACCATCCATCCTGGTAGCACGAAGATGTATCAGGACCTGAGGAAGTCTTTCTAGTGGCGAGGCATGAAGAGGCAGGTAGCGAAGTTCGTGGATGGGTGCCTGGTGTGTCAGCAAGTGAAGGCTGAGCGCCAGAAATCGAGAGGTTTGTTGCAGCCCCTTGAGGTTCCCCTGTGGAAGTGGGAGTGCATCACCATGGATTTTTTAGTGGGACTGCCAAGGTCGAGGAGCGGGTATGATTCGATTTGGGTGATAGTGGATCGCCTTACGAAATCTGCCCATTTTCTGCCAGTCCGGACGACCATGAAGGCGAGTGATTACGCCGAATTGTTCGTCAAGGACATTGTTAAGCTTCATAGAGTGCCCGTGGAGATTGTTTCGGATCGAGATGCCAAGTTCACATCCCAGTTCTGGAGGACGTTGCACCGAGCCATGGGGACGAGGTTGGAGTTCAGTACGGCCTTCCACCCCGAGACAGATGGTCAGTCGGAGCGTGTGATCCAGTACTTGGAGGATATATTGAGGGCTGTAGTCTTGGACCGAAGCTTGACTTGGGAGTATGCCCTTCCGCTAGTCGAGCTGACCTACAACAACAGCTACCACTCTTCAATCAAGATGGTCCCATACGAGGCTTTGTATGGACGTAAGGTCCGGACTCCTTTGTATTGGGATGAGGTTGGAGAGAGGAGGATTACAGGTCCACATTTTTTCCAGAGTACTGCAGCGACCGTTGAGGAGATCCGGAAGACCATCAGGTCTGCCCAGGAGAGGTAGAAGGTCTATGCTGACCGGGAGAGGCAGGAGCATGTTTATGTTGTGGGAGATCATGTCTTCCTGAAGGTTCCACCCATGCGAGGTGTGATTCGCTTCGGAAAGAAAGGGAAGCTTAAACCTCGCTATATTGGGCCGTTCGAGATCCTCGACCGAGTCGGGAACTTAGCGTATCGGCTGGCTTTACCACCAGACTTGTCAGGAGTGCATGACGTGTTCCATGTCTCGATGCTTCGGAGGTATGTGCATGATCCTGATCATGTGGTGGACTTCGGCGAGCTGCAGGTCGAGCGAGACCTCACCTACGAGGAGGTGCCGGTAGCCATTTTGGACTGGAAGGTCCATCAGCTGAGGAACCGGGCAGTGAGCTTAGTGAAGGTGCAGTGGAGCCGACACGATGAGACCGAGGCGACTTGGGAAAAGGAGGCCGAGCTTCGGAGGCGATATCCGAACTTTGAGTTTTGAGTTTCCTTTGTATTTTTTTTTATTTATTATTGCTTTCTAGTTTATTTTCGAATTCCGATGACGGAATTCTTTGTAAGGTGGATAGACTGTAATACCCCATTCGGTTGTGGATTTTTGGAGTTATTATTTATTTTTCCTTGTTAATATTTGTCCTCTTTATTTTTATTGTTATTTGCTAATGTGATTATTATTATTATTATTATTATTATTATTATTATTATTATTATTATTATTATTATTATTATTATTATTATTATTATTATTATTATTATTAATTGTCTAATTGTTATTATGTGTTTAAATGCTTATTATTAAATAATATTATTGTGTGTATTAAATATATAATGTCCGGTTTTAATTTAATTCGTGTTGTCGTGTTTTCTTATCGAGCTTGAGATTAATTCCAGCCCAAATTCCTATTCATCATTTTGGCCCAATTTTAAATCCTTGATCCACTTGGAGATTAAAAATGTTGGGTCCATTTTAATTGAGCCCATATTAATTGTTCTCGTTCAATGTCCGATCAGATATTTTTTTTTTTTCCCTTCGTCTCTCATCGCGACCGAGTCTTCCTCGTTGGATCAAATCCGTTGCGATTTTGTGGGAAATCCTCCACGCACGTCCTCCCTCGATCTCTCCCTCTCGCCTATATTAGTTGCAGCAACTCGACTCTCCATCATCTCTCGATCTCTCTGTTCTCGCTACTTTAAAAAAAAAACAAAAAAATTTGTTATCGCCGCCTGTAAGACCTCCGCCATTGTTCCCGGAGAGCGAAGCCCGATAACCGGCGTCTTTACGTCGCAGCACGTTGCCGACCTCGAGCTTTCAGTCCGTCGATCCAGCGATTCCTTCGCAAGACGCCAGCAAACCCGACCCTCTTCCTTTCCGGCAAGCCCTGTCTAGCAGCTTCACCGTCGCCGACCCTTAGCAGTCCAATTCGCGAGCTGTTCTTCGAATTTCAGTTCGGGTTCTCGAGGAATTTTGAAGTTTTGGACCCGCTCGTTTGAATTTTGTTCGTTTGGTCCCTTAACCCACCCAAGCTCGTCTATTTCCCGAAGTCGGGTAAAAATCTTTCGAAACTCTCTCGTAAATTTCAATTCGGTTTGATGTTGTACGTTTACTCATATATCGTGCTCGTCGATTGAATTCTTGATTGAAATCGGTTTAATTTATTATTCGTATGTTCGTTATGTATTTCGTATGTTCGTTATGTATTTCATATGTTCGAGGATTATTTGGGGATTATTGGAACTCTCGATTCCGTAAAAAGTAAATATCATAATGTTGTTGTGACTGTTTTGCATAAATTCAGAGTCTTGTTTCACTATTTTGAGCCGTCGTTAAGTTGTTCGGGTCGTTCGAACCCCCGATCGTTCATTTTGCTTTTATTTTGGTTGTTCCGTTTTCAAGCCAAAAACCGTTGTTAAAAAATATGTTTCGAAACTATAAAAATATGTTATTTTTTATAAACTCTCGAATCTCGTTGTCGTTAGATATCTCGTCGTCAAATTTGGTTGTCGATTTCAGCCCCGGTGTTGTTTTCACTTAGCTGCTTTTGGTGTAGTGTGATATAGTTCATCCCAGACTCTGTACGTTTATTTCCCAGTTACAGGCCTCATTTTGAAAATTCATTATGTTTTGGTTGCATAATATTGTGCGATTGAGCGAGTGGCGCAGTGGTGAGCTATGCGCATGTTTGTGTGGGTTGTCAGGGGTTCGATCCCAACCTTTGCAAAAAATTTCATTTTTTTTATTATTAAAGGCTGCTTCAGCGCGCGGGCCATATGGCCCGAACTCAGCCCGTGCGCAGCCCGTCCCCTCTCTCCAGCAGCAGCCCGAGAAGCCCACCCTCCTTCCAGCCTTGTAGCGGGTC